CAGTCCATGTGTTAACGTGGGTCAGATGTCAGGAGGCAGAGTTCAGGAGTCTGACAGCTGTGGGGAAGAAGCTGTTCCGGTACCTGGTGGTCTTAGTCCGGAGGCTCCTGTGGCGCCTCCCAGAGGGCAGGAGGGTTTATTTACATTATGTGCAGAACTTTGAGGTGAAAATCAGCTTAATCCAAAAAGAAAGCTTCTTTGATCTGGTGGAGTCTAAAACAATATATGTACCTGGCCTAATTCATTTTAGTGTATTTTACTCAGTAAAGTTTTAAATGAACAACCAAACAAAAAACATAAATGAAATATTAAACTTGAACCAGTACCAGACAGAACCTTCACATTTGCTCTTGGAATTAGAATATTAAAAGCTTGTGTCTATAAGAAAATTATTTCCTTTATTAGTTAGATTGAAATGAATGACTGTTTGATGGCAATAGATTTGGTGATTTGCAGTGGAATTATGTAAATGGTCAAATTGTAACGTTTTATCCATTTTCCGTTGTTAAAACTTGATTACCAGTTGTAATGACCATCTTTCATTTAGAACGACACATACTGTGAAGAAAGGGCAACTTCTTTATGACAATCTACAAATGAATGTGAATAAATGAAACAGAAAGCCTAGTTAACAGAGGGTTGATAATCACCATTGTGATCACGATCACCTCCAGGTTTTAGGTTTGGTTGAACGCAAAGAAACTCTGGATATGTTGAAGTTGCATGAACATGTTCAGATTTTCTTGCACTGGACATCTCAATTCCCTTTCAAAGACATATTAAAGTATAATAAAGCAGTGACTCCAGCCAGATGACAAAAACACTGAATTCTTTAAGAAACAGTCAGGTGTGTAGGACTGTAAATGTTACTTCTTATCCAGTTGAGGAAAAAGTGCTGGTGCTGCTGTTTGTAGTGCTCATGTTGTGCTTTGTCCTCTCAGTTCCTCAGGTTGGGGCAGATTCAGGGGTGGAGTCTGTCCAGCTGCCCTGCAAAGCCATAATTGATCTGCCTCGAGATGGTAAAGTGGAGTGGAAGGATGGTTCTTACAGGACAGTTCACGTGTATGAGAACGGCTCTGACCAGCCTGAAGAACAGGATCACCGTTACAGCGGACGAACGAAGATGAATGAAGACCTGGTGGAAACTGGAGACCTCAGTCTGACCCTGAAATACCCCACGGGCTGGGACAACCATACTTACACCTGTAATGTCTACAGCAGCAAGAGAAACATCCTGATGAAGAAACAAATGGAGCTGAAAGTCAGAGGCCAGTGATGGAGTGTCTGTGTGTCTTTGTGTGTGTTTCCAATATGTGTGAGTTTCCATCTATCCATTTTCTTCTGCTCATCTGGGTTCAGGTTACAGGTGCAGCAGGTGAAAAGCTAAGCCCAGTGTCCAGTGAGTGAGGGTACGGACGTAGAATGACTGGTCTACAGCTTTGCTTTTGTGGTTACCTCTGGTTCTCCATTGTGGTTCTCCACAATGGACTGGTGCGGTGTTGAAATCACTGCAGCTGTAGCTCCAACCATTTAGTGGGGCACAAAGCTTGGTTAGATGAGACAACCTTGTATTTTTATTTTTTAATATGTGCAAGAATCCAACAGACAATGTCTGATCCAGTTTGTCCGGAAGAAATTTGACTGAAAGTGACAAGTATCGTGTGAGAGTTCTCACTTCGGGGCTCTGATTCTGATTCTTCAACTCTGAAAACCTGCTGCTGTCCGTACAGCTCATGTTGTGTTTCTTGTCCTCTCAGTCTGTCAAGTAGAGGTGGAGGAGGGGGCGGAGTCTGTTCATCTGCCCTTCAAAACCACACAAAACCTGCCAGAAGACACTAAAGTTGTGTGGTGGGACACTGATGACAGGAAGGTCCACGTGTATGAGAACGGCTCTGACCAGCCTGAAGAACAGCACCAGGTTTACAGAGACCGAACGAAGATGAATGAAGACCTGCTGAAAACTGGAGACCTCAGTCTGACCCTGAAACAGCCCACAGTGAGTGACAGTGGGAGATACTGCTGTAAA